CGTTTACTTTAGTTATCAGAGGCTATTGCCATCAAGTGTCAGAAAGCTAAACTGTGCAGGCAGGAATTATTTGTAACCCTAGCTCAATGGACAATTTAAACGCTAACAGTTCATCTACTGTGACTGTATTTTCTTATTGTTCTTCACATTTAGACCTTGGTTTGTACCTTTTTCATCTTTACTTCCTTTTATTGAGTACATAATGATACAATTTTCCGGAAGACTGAAGCAGCCATTCGAAAGGCTGTCAAAGAATGGATCGACTCAAGCGGTGGTGGTTAGATTCCAACACATCCTTCGGGAGGATGATTCGGTGACTTTTATCACTCGGCCAAAACTTACGGAGATTTACGGACATGGTTCCGGAAATAAATTGTACAACACTAGGCTCTGTATTCTCTATTCAAGTTCATATTGGAAAAATAATGCTTGAATCTTATAATTAATCTACTTGCTTGGCGTCGGCCTACGTCTACTTCCACAACTAATTCCTCCGTCTATTTACAATAATGACCTCCACCTCATTTTGCGGCAGTTTGCAAGAAGATTTTCCTCTGAATGCACATGAAAAATTATTGCGATGGACATGGTAACTAGTGAAAATAGTTACCATAAATGATACCTATTTACCGAGAGCTGAACGCATGCACCTAACAGACCTCGAACATCGTAGTTGTCCTTTCTGGTAACCGTTGTGCTTCTCGGCCCGTGAGAAGGTCTTCTTTCGAGATCAACCGTATTCCGCTGAATTTCAAGGGCCTACTTGAATCAAACGTCTGTTCTTTTCGTGCGATTTCACTCTTCATGCTGAGAAAGTCATGTGAAATGTTTCACACGGTATTTGTGAGGCCGTTGCTTGTCCTTAATACTTTTTTCATGACACAGTTGTGTGATGAATAGCAGACGAGAGTTAAAACCCATAAGCACTAAGACCTACTGTTCAGTGATGGAAACCGTTACTCTAATCCCTCGTAATTAGAGTAGCGAACCACTTAAGGCCAGGTGTGGTATTGAACCGGACGACAGTAGAGCTGTCTACCACCAAAGCTTGACGGTGGTGGCGCGGCCCGAACCTCATACCATAGGATTCAAAGCATGCCGGTGACGGCGACTGGAGCACTACGCAGCCATCACCGAATTGGGGTTGTGTCGTTTGCAACACTTTCAATCATCCTGCCAAACAAAAACTAACTTTATTTTTACATTTTTATGTCTGCAACAACGTTAAATGTTTTCCAGATTTAATCAGTATGAAGTTTCATTCATGGACTGTTCCTTTTTCAATCTCCTATCGCATTTAGGTGTCACTCTCCATATCCCAGATACAATCATGGGATTAACGTTCATTGCCGCCGGCTCAAGTGTACCCGATGCGATTGCTTCTGTTTTGGTCGTCCGAGAAGGCAAGCATCTAAGCCACTATTCATGATTGTTTTGCTGATAAACCCCTATGTTTACCTATTCCGACAAACTGGTTTGTCTCTCCGTAATCTGTTTGTGCATTGATCTACGCTGCAGGCTACTGGGACTTCTCTCACCTAGGCTCGTCACATCGTTGAATTAATTGTCATTCATTTGTAAATTGATTATTTCATTCGGTGCGGTATCAAGTAATTGCATCTCCAATCAATACACGAGTTATCCTAACCACTGCACCGCCATTTGTTTTGTGAAATGTCAAGTGTATTATTGCGGCATCGTTTCAGGTGCTGTTTCGCCTTTTTGAACTCTTTCTGATGGATTCCATGCGAATTCATAAAATCAGGGTCTGAATTATGTGTTATTGTATTCAGTAATTTTTCACACTGTAAAACGCGTTGTATGCAACGAAACTTTAGTATTTGGACAGAACATGAGATGAGTATCTGTCTTTGCGGAGCTGTTTGCTTCAGTATATGGAATTTTCCATGAATTGTTACCAGTAGATGCGTTCGAAATAGAAGTCATCTAATATACAAATCGAAAGCATATGGATACTCCGGCTCGTTGGAATAATACCAAAAAGCAATCAGGCTTTCATAGGGATGTATTTTTTCGATTCCGCCTCTGTAAATTGACATTGCAGGCACCCAGTGCTGTAATATGCAAGTATAGTATGAGCAGCATTTGTACGTGTTTTTCCGACCTGATATATATATATATCACCAATTATACATTTACGGAAATGGTTAAACTCGATGAAAAATCCTTGTATTTACTCCGGTAGCTTGCTATTCCTTGAACAATTCTCCCTCCCCCCACATACGCAATTGCGTCAGATTGTAACGGCAATTAAAGTATCAGTAAATTAATTAGCAAATTAAAATGAACCCCTGAGAAAACAGTGACGAGTTAATCTCTGTAACTGTATACGCGATATGTGCAGAGCACGATGACGGGCAGCAGAATAAATTGCAACGAATTAGCTGTGTTTTTCGGTTAATCAATTGTACAATAACACAATGAAACTGCAGAAACAACTGGCAGTCAGGTGAGGAAACACAATGCAAGGTATCCGTGACAGATCCTGACAAAACTAGTCTGTACATGTTCTCCCTGGTGGGAAGATGAGTGGAACATTAACCAGCAGTCCGATTCACACTGGATCGTGCCGGAGCACGAGACGGTTAGATTTTTCGGTAAACTTTACTTACATATTAAAACGATCGAAAGGGAACGTACAATAGATTGAAACAAAATATGATAAATGCATGCAAGTCGGAACGGAAAACCAGGTTGCGTAATCACTGAGGAACGGTATACCTGCAACCGGTGAGTATTTACTAATGATTGATGCCGTTTTGGCGTCTGTATGGTGATCTGTGTCGACAGTGGGATTTTGTTCTCAAAGTTTACGTTCAAAAAGTTTTTCGTGTCACTGTGAATATGAAAATTTGCCAATACGCAAATTATTCATCGATAAAAGTACGTTACGTGCATTATTTAATTATATGAATTCCTCGAACATGTACGCTTGTGTTCTAAGAATTACGTAAGTTTAATAGTATGGTGAAAAATAAAACAGTATTACTCATGAATAGTACAGTACATATGTGTAGGAGTGGTAATTCAAATTGAGTTATTTGTCTCCAGTCTTGTTTTCTACTTTCAAGCAAAGATCGAGAAACCCTTGCGCCTAAAAGTGGATTATAGGTGACAGATTAGTGCTCAACAATCCAGCATCCCACTGGTTAACGGTAAGCTGAAAAACAGCGACGGATAAGCAGATTAAACGGAAGAGACAAGTGACAAAATTTATCGTTCAGACAGTTAAGAAAATTGCGAACCCACCTCCTCTTTGTCCGGTATCGAAAAGAAATAGCTATGATACTTGGCAAACATTGTAATTCCCTTCGTATTCTTCTACCTCTGTCTCCTAAATTAATCGGGAATGTAAGCCCTAAATACAATAGGAGCAACAGTAGTGCTCCACATGCGAATTTGTAGTCACTTCAGTAGAATTACACTCTAGGTTTAGGGGGGGGAGAGGGAAGGGAGAGTGGAGAATTGAGGATTTTTGATGTTTAAGATACACTTTATACCTAGAAGTGTGCCTATGCACACACGAAATTATTCATAAAGTAGTAACAGTTCTCAACTGTGGTTGAACAATATGATCAAAATGTTTACAAAATCTGTTTCTCTGTATGAATACAACCTGCGTTTGACTGTCTGGCATTTTAATCGTTACTAAATCACACACTGTTAGTCTTGAGTTATTTACAACGGAGTTTTGTGCCAGTGTCGACTTTCACAAGCTCCGTTTTCCACTTTTTTCGCTGGAGTTTAATTCCCTTCCCATCCATGTTCTGTTCGTTATCCGGTTTAGGTGAAGGCGATATGGCTGTGTCTAACGCCGTTGGAAGTAACGTCTTCGACATCTTGGTGTGCATGGGTCTACCGTGGTTTCTCAAATGTGTCATTTCCGGAGCCCCTGTCGTCATCTATTCCAAAGGTTTGTGCTTCATTTCCCCCGGATCATGGATCACGTATGCCTAAAGTAAAGATGCTTGGTTATCCCTCTCCCCTTACCGTATTTGGTTGGTTATGCGGAGTGATAAATGTCTCTGACCCTCATTCTACCGGAAGAAAAACTGTCATCGGGCACCAGTAGTGAAATGAATGTCTTTTACTTGTTTATGTGCATTAGGCATCAGCGGTAGGTGTAGTATCGTAGTTTCACTCATGTGAAGAGGCGTGACTGTAATCCGAAAGGAAATAACCAACCATGGCCGTCGAATGCAGCACCACTGACGTCTCCTTCTGCATCGTCACAAAAATTTATTGACACGTTGGGTTGGTGAAAAATCTATGAAACGGGAATTCCTGTCCTAATTGCTTTATCATCCGTACTGGACCCTCACCTGCTTTTCGGTCTGTGAGCCTAAGTGATTGTGTATTATCATAGAAGTTTCATTCTAAAATGCTTCTCTTNGCTTGTTTCATTCACTGAATTCAGTGTGAAATGAGAGGCACAGTTGCGCAGATGTGCATTTCTTGATCCCTCTCGAATAATTTCTTCGATAACACAATGGGAATCATTTTCCTCATACAGTATTTGAATCTTGACTTTTGCACTCGATTCGCCTTTCGTTCACTGCACATTCCCACAGGGTGGAAACCAATCTTCTGGAGGACAGAAAAATCGGTTATAAGCTGTGAAAATTGAATACAGCTCAGTTGCACATACCTTAAACCCGATCTGTAATGGCCTATTCTTTTAATCAACTTTAATCTAGGATTTATCAAGCCCCAGCGGAATTGATAGACATAATTTTGTTAGTTGTATCTTATATTATTTAAACAGGTATTGCCAAAAGTCTTCGATAGTTCTTACAGAAACGCTTTTTGGGTGGTGATGGTGGTGGCAGTAAATCCTGAATCCCTGTAGGCAATTGGTATTCACCTATTCGTTACAAATGCGATGGAAATGTTTGTGATAACCAAAAAAGAGCACTGGACAGCTATTTCGTCCTGTTTGGGACTCATCAGCAGTGCGAAGCTTGATACTCTAAACTTTAGTTACACTTGTAACTTGGGTTGAGTAGCTCATTGCTCACTTACGCATGGACCTTCACTACTAGATTGTACATATTTCATCGCTAACCGGTGCGACATTTTTGATGTGGTTTTTCAGAGAGCAAGCAAGAGTCGGCTTTCTATTATATTTTAAGAAAAATATATTGGTCTCGGCGAGCAACAGAATAGCATATTTCATGTTTGTCCAAACACAGAATGGAGACACTATTTGGATTCCATTCATGCGTCACTGAACTAACAGTTACGCACGCACGCACCCTGTTCACCCGAATTTACTACTGCCCCATTGAACCACTCGTCAGAGGATGAAAGCGTGACCAAGAGTACAAGCCAACTGTTTCGGCTCCTCGTGCATCGGTTAAAATACAATGCACTTTGGATATGATTAAATTTTGGGATGGCAGAAGAGCTGCACAAAAGAAAAAAGTTGACGAACGCTACACTGCTTGGATTACGCTTCTACGCTGATAATGATACCACATCAAGAGCATGGTGATAGACGTATGTAGTGTGTCTATGAACGGACGGATATTGCGTAATACGACCACATGTCGTTGGTCAGGGGTCTAAAGTCGTTATTTACTGAAGGCTGATTACAAGGGCCTCGGTGGTTAACAGTCCAGCAATCGACCTCACTTGCATGATGTACATTGATCTTGCAGAGAAGGCCAAACATCTCGCACACTACTTGTGGTTGTATCATATAAAGTGTGCGCTAACCAAATGGCTTGACTCTCCTTAGGTAAAAGTCTCACTATACAAATAACAGGTTGCTCTAATTAGGCAAACAATTTGGCTCACAAAAGAGCCAGTAATATTGAAAACACAAAATGAGACGTTGAACCTAGCGGACATGAAACCGCTGTGGACTGGTGAACACTATCTGGTCTTTTATCTAGTCATATTAGTGCTCTGGGCTGTTCTGTGACTCTTTTTCCATGCTAGAGTATAAGAACGCCTTGAGTGATGTCATCCCGAGCGCTTGGTGGAGCGCTCTAACCCATAAGGCAATTGGACAGTGCTTCACGAACAAAAAGAATAGAATGTTTCTTGTGGTAGCTTTTTCATGTACGCATGCTGCTGCTGCTCATCCGAAGATATGCCAGACCTACTTCCCATCTAATTATATTCTCCTGACTAACAACAAATTTGCTGAGTAATCCAACTGACTGCGTTTTCGTGCTGAGAGTGTCCACCTATTTGGGAGCATGAGAAGTTGACTTTGTAAAGGTATAAACCTATTTGATGATTTACTAAAGCCGAGTTGCTTTCAGAAGTAGAAAGCCTTGATTTCGAATCCCCCGATAAGACTCATGATTGCCAGTAGACCCGAAACACAAATGCCTCTGGATTTCTGTCGCAACACGGACCTGTGATTCCGGTTTGAAGTATGTATGTATGTATGTATGT